GTAGGAGGCTACTCTACGAGCCCGGCACGCCCAGTTCCATGGATTCCCTGGAGAATCGACAGTGCGCGTAGGAGTATAAAAACGGCTCGCTGTGGCAGATCTCTACGGACCTAAAGAGGAAAAAGTCTACGCCGCGGAAAACCCTCAGTAGGTTTCGCTCTTCACGCCGATGTACTTGCCTCAGAACAGCTACTATTCATAGGCACAATAAGCACCATTACCCAGCACATACGACCACAGGTCATAGAATACTGGGCATCCCGTCCGCTCTGCCATACATAAGCTATGAACCGGCTGATTAGTAGTTAGGTGGGTGACCACTAGCGAATCCCAGCTGTTGTATGTTTTTGCCTTTTGTCTTCATGAACGCTTATTTATTCTTTCGTTTTGTATCTCCCTTTGAACCCATTACTTTTACTTCCACGACTATCAGTCGCTTTGGCGTGTCCAGAAAAAGCCTCTCCCAGCATCCTTGCTTTTAACCCGATAACGCATGGAGAGTGTCCGAGAAAATAGCGGAGGTATGTAGTAAATGGTGCGAGGCAAAACGTCTCGAACAACGACCGCAATTGCTGGTGTAGGCGCAGGTCTGTGTACAAGTAACGGACCAATATTTTTGACTAAGAAACCTTAAACTGAGCGCACACGTTCTTCATCCATTTACACCTTTACCCCTTTCGAGGGCGAAACCTTCTTTTGGCTTCTCGCACTACAATTGGCTGCTTTGTAGCAGATTGCCTAGCTAGAGTCAATATTACGTAAGTGCTTCACGTTTTTCGTGGGTACTTGCGTGCCTATGCTTGGGTGTAGTGTATCAGGGGTATGCAAAGCGATGGCGAGCCCGATGAAGGGCCGTCGGCCTTCGAAAATCACCGCATAATTAATTCTGCTGCCTTGCGTTACGCGTAATTCTGCTGCCTTCTTTACGAAGACTATTAAAGCAGCGCCTACTTGCAAACTAAGGACAATCATTCCACCCACTCCATCTATCAAAACCATATCGAAGAGAAAAAGAATCAAACTCACAAAATGGTTGCTGCGCCTTGTTCCATCTCCTCAATGGAGCGCCCCGACTTCCCCACAATCGCGGACTTCCTGCACTCCTCCAAGCTGCAGCTCACCATCAACCGTCTCCTCTACAAGGACTGGCCCAACGACGCTGCTCAGAAGAGCCAGTGCACGCAAACCATCGAGGGCGCATTCGCGGACCCGCACGTTGAAAATTTAAAAGCGGTCGATGAGACCTCTGGCGATATCGTTGGCTACCTTGGCCTCACGCGCAAACGTCCTACAAAGCCATCCGCGACGCCTGGGGACGGCAGCGACAATGCAGCCACTGCCCCGCAGATGGAAGTTCCAGAGTTCTTCAACCCGGAAGTGTTCAAGGCTGTTATCGGGGCTGTAGGTGAGCTTTCGAAAGAGACGGCCGGAGTCGACCACTTTGGTAAGAGAATCCTCTATGTGCGTGATGAGCCGAACACTGCTAATCATGAATAGAGGTTACGTATATCTACGTCAAGCCCTCGGCCCGGGGCAAGGGCATCGGATCGCGGCTGATGGCGGAAGCCTTCGAAAGAGCGAAGACTGCAGGTGTGCTTTTGACCGTGTCCACTGAACCCGCAGCGTATGCTTTCTTCGCCAAGCTCGGATTCAAGGAGACTAATCACGCTGAATTTGACCTGAGCAAGTGGGCTCCGCCGTACAGTGGGTTTGGCGCGTTCAGGCTGGCCAACATGGCTTGGAACTAGAGCTTGTATGCTGCGTAGAGTTGAGCATGTACATGCGTACCTAGGTTTGGTGTAGATTTAAATGCAGAACAACGCGCGGCCTCTATGCCTCTGTTTCCAACAAATTAGCCGTCTTCAGAAATGAAAAAGAAGGTGATAAAAGAATTTTCCAAGCTAGATCTCTCTTTCTCCTGAGAGTGGATTGGATTTCTCTCTTCTTCAAAACAAGCCGGAGGAGCCGTTGGGAACACCTTGCTGGCGCCTGGTGTCGGTGCATCTGTGTAGGCCACAGATTGGGCCGCAGAGTGGTATTTGGGCTTTAGTGAAGACGAGAGTTGAGTGAAGGTTCACAAGTCGGATGCGCAAGGCGTGAGGATGTTGAGGTGTGTAAGAGTTGAGTGAAGCGTGGGTCGGAGAGCGGAGTGATTTCACGGAGGCCCGAGACGGCGGGGCGGAGCAGGGCGGAGCAGAGCACGTGGTTCAGTATACAAGACTACTTCGAATACAAGGGATACTTCTCTTGAGCATCTTTTCGACTTTAATATTTCACTCTTCTAGTCTCCTAGTTCGGGACACGAAGAGTGAAAAGTGGAAATTATTTTCCACACAAGACATCACGGTACTCAACCTACCCCGCTCTTTAGTTCAACGTCACAACTCCTTCGCATCAATATCATCAGCAAAAAGCTCGGATTATTTCCAACGCTTTTATCCTCGACATACATGTCACAAGAAAAATGCTTTGTGACGAAATGACGGTAATAGCCGGATCGGAATGACCATAAGAACTGTATCCTTGACACTGGCAAGGGGAAAGATAAGTGCAATCCAAATATACCCTTCTAATGTTGTTGCCTATTGCCTATGAAGGGGTCCAAGGACTTAATCCTTGGTATATAGGCGCACATGTGCTGCGCCAGTCTGCTGACCCCGCATCCGCACGTGTATGACAGGGACTGTGCGAGAAGGCAGAAGCTGACACCTGTGCCCTGCATACATCGAACTTCGAATGTCTGCCTGCTGCCTAACCGCTCAGCTATCTTAATACGGATTACCGATAGCCAAGTATGCCTAGCAGATAGCGCACCTTCCTGCATTGCACCAAGAGATAATCGGCCACAATCACAAATCTTCAACAAATAGGCTTGTATTCCTTCACCCTTACCCCACTTTCCAGCATCATTTCGTATTCTCGCTGCAGAAACTGCAGAAATCCCCGCACCCTTGCGGTACGCGTACATACGCCCAGGTTATCGACGCAAATCAGCCATCAGCCACCGCCACAACGTCCATATGAGTGGGCTCAGAAGTTTGTGCCAATATTCTCACACATTATTCTTATTTGACGCATGCCACTTCACATGTCAATGATCACGCAGCAGCACAAGGCTGCCACCGTGGGCATGGGGCCTTCTTAACTCGTCTTTTCAATATATTTAGCAGTCTCCTGCATCGATGTATCAGTGAATCAGAGCACCTAAATTTTAGCTCCAACGATGACATCAGTCGACTTTCTCCCCTCGCGGGACATACCCTCGCTCACGGGCAAAGTAATCTTCATCACAGGCGGCACTTCCGGCCTAGGCGCCGAGTCCGTCCAGCAACTCGCACAAAAACAACCTCGTGCCATCTACCTCAGCGGACGCAACGCCAAAAATGCCGAAGCCTTGATCGAGCGCGTCAAAGCAGTCGCACCAACCACACCACTCCACTTTATTCAGTGCGACCTCGCTTCGCTGCCCTCCGTTGCTGCAGCCGCAGCGCAGTTCCTCGCCGCCTCTGACCGCCTCGACATCCTAATGTGTAACGCGGGCATCATGGCGCACCCGCCCGGTCTCACGTCCGACGGATACGAGCTACAATTCGGGATTAACTTCCTGGGGCACGCGCTACTGATCAAGAAGCTGCTTCCGCTACTCCAGCGCACCGCGCAGCTACCCGGCGCAGACGTGCGCGTCGTGCTCCTCACATCTCTAGGCTTCTTAATGCACCCACGTGGAGGCATCCTCTTCGACAGCCTGCGCACGACGCAAGACTCTAGGATATTCGGGCCCTGGACGCGCTACGGGCAGAGCAAGCTGGCGGCGTTACTGTACGCACGGGAGCTGGCGCGGCGGGCGCCGAGCATTTTGGCCATCGCAGTTCATCCCGGAGTGGTGCAGACGGGGCTGGCGGACGGATTGAGCGCTGTTAATCGTGTTTTCCTGAAAGCGATGTTGGTAACGACAAAGTTGGTGACGCCCGAGGAGGGCGCGAGGAATCAGTTGTGGGCGGCGACGACACAGAGGGAGGGCATTGAGAATGCAGCTTTGTATGAGCCGGTGGGGGTTTTGAGTGGGAAGCTCGATAAGACGAGTAAGGATGATGCATTGGCGGGGAGGCTGTGGGAGTGGACGGAAAAGGAGCTGGAGAGGTATTAATATGTGTTAGGAGGGGAGACATGTGTTGCACCGAATAGGCGCAGCAGGCGATTAGTCGTCTAATCACGCCGAATAGACGTCTATTTACACCGAACAGATACCCACAGATGACGTGTGCTTGTTTCAACGATTTAGTCGTCTATTTTGGTGTTGTGCGCCCGCAGTAGGGTGATCTACTGACTCGGCCCCCTGAAGCGATCCTTGTCCCTACTATATAAAGGCATCAACACCGACCCGCGCCTGCAGCGGTGCGTAGGCCCGCCTGTTCATGGCCTGGTTCGACGCCTGGTTCAACTGTGAAAAAGCAAAAGACTGAATACGCGCTCATGCATCGTAGGAGGCCGTTTTTCGCCTATAAAACGGGCTTGAGAATGTACCAGCAGGTTAGTGAGCTTTAACGTCTTCTTCGATTTACTAAGTACCTACTGAGCACTTATTAGACTCGTTCAAATTATGTCTTCTTCGTCCTCCGCCAACCCCGCGCGCCCTGCTGCTGCTACTGAGCGTTCTCCTACCCCTGAAGCAGTTTATGACGCTGTTGAACCTCTGCCCCCGCGTCCATTCAACCCTGATCGGGCAGTCACTGCGTTTAGTGAAGTTGCGAAGGCGTCCTTTAACGCCTATATTAAAGCTGCCCCCGATCGAATACACTTTAGTGCTTAAAAGTATCACGACTACTGCTCTTGGCATCTCGGGACGAACACTGCAGGCATATAAAGCTCGAAACGCAACGTCCTAAACAACTTTAACTACTACCTAGAGTGTACTACTACTAGCAAATCAGACCTCTATAAAAAGGTAACCGCCCGCTATAAAGAGCGAAAGGTGTTAAGGACTTATAAGGCATTCGGCGTTATACGAGATGCCCACTTAAGTAATAGCCATTTAGGTGTGTACTACTACTCTACGAATACACTAAGTATTAACGTGTTGTAGCTCAACAAACAACGTTCAAGGACGTACAACAGAGCTATTACGGTATTACTGAAGCAGACGTTGAGAGGCTACTCCGTCTCTATCGTGTTTGTGTAGTAGCACGGTAACCCCCGCCTGCCCCGCGGGCACTACGAGCTATCCTCTCAAAAGATATATTCGAGCGGGTGCAGATAGATCTGATCGATTATCGTAACCACCCTAATCCAGTTACCCACGATAAATATGTGCTACATATAAGGGATCACTACTCCAGATACTACATGTTAATACCCCTAAAGGATAAAGCAGCTCGAATAGTAGCCGTTGGGATGCTCCGTTGGATTCAGGCCTTCGGTATACCTAAGCAAATATAGACGGATAACGGTACTAAGTTTATAAACGCTGCTTCTTAACAGCTCTTCAACGACTACGGTATTGATTCGACTACTAGCCGGCCTAGGCACCTAGAGAGCCAAGGAGGTGTTGAAAAGGCGAATGGGCACGTGAAAGAGAAGATAGAGAGAGTCCGCGTCGCCCATAGCCATCCCGGCTTCGCTTATGCCTGCCTAGACGTTATACTGTAACAGAACAACTACCGGCGGTAGGCAACAGGGGCTTCACCCTACAAAGTACTTTTTGGGCGCCATATGTGGACGCCTGGGCGTCCTCACTTAGTACCTCCTGAGCTGCGTATAGATGCTCCTACACGGTAGATCGCTGTACTGGATGACATCACAGAGGAGACAGATAAGATAGAAGATGTAGAGAGCACTACGGAGGAGGACGTAGATAAGGATAAGGATACGGAGGACGAGCGCAGTAGGGCCCGCGGGAGTACCCGCAGGCGAGCGAACGAGGCGGGCGGAGGTTCGTAAACGAGTACTAGCCCGCGTGCGAACGAGCGACTAGTAGAGCGCGCTGCGGGAGCTACGGAGGTTGTAGTAGGTTCGACTAGAGACCCCGCGGGTACCCGCAGTTCTAATTTTCCACCAAGACCCCGCCAAATATCGCCCTCCGAAGAAGACCTGTACTACTCTTCATCTTCGTCGGACCTACCGCTACCTTCGACGCTTATACCGCCTCGCGCACGAACTACTACTATTAAAACGATCGGTCTAACGTATAATACCCCGCCGCGGGCCGCTCCGCGTGCCTTATAACAGTCCCCTCCGCGTGCCCCGCTGCCCCGCGGGGCACCGCTCCCTCGTAGTACTTTACTAATTGGGACCCTCCCTGGGACGCCGTAAACACTGCTTCGCCCCCCGCCAGCGCTATCTTCGCCTACTGCCCGCGTCTCCCCTCCGCCAGTAGAACTAGAGCTGCTACAGCACCCTTATGCCGACTAGCGCTGGCGGCGGGCTAGGGAGATATTCGCTTATTTATAGAGAGAGAAGGCTTTAGAGTAGCGCGAATAGCGACTGCGGGAGGCCGCTACGCGTGCTCTATAACTGCAGGCGGAGCATGCCGAGCGAGCGGAGCAGGTTGTACGTGCGGAGCAACCCCCGGAGCAACCCTCTGAGCAACCCCCTAAGTAACCCCCTGAGTAATTACCGCGTATTTGGGACCGTACTACCCTCGATGAAGACGTTCGAACGAACCTAAGTGCCTCCCGGGAGCGAATGGAGAAGCAGTTTAATAAGCACCTCATCCCGCCGCATATATTCACCGTTGGTGATGTTGTAGCAGTAACAGTGCCCCCTAAGGATCGCCAGGGCTCAATGCCGCGGGTGCTTAGAGTAATTCATGAGCTAACTAGCGACGAATCAAGCCGTGGGTACCGTGTAAAAACGCCTTATGGTATTATCCAGCGGCCTTTTCCGCCTCACTCGCTGTCCCTATTAGATGTCTCGCAGTGCCCTGAACATCTTAATACACCTGAAGCAAACAGTTTAGTAACACTACGTAGTGTTGCTCGTAAAGCAGGTGTCTCTATAGGTGTTATCAGTGCTCGCTGCGGGTGCAGAGGAGCGTGTGCTAATAATAAGTGCGCCTGCTACAAGGCAGGGACTGAATATAGCGGTAGTTGCCATGAGGGCACCCCGTGCTCGAATTAACCGCAGTAGGGCGAGTCCTCTGCAGCAGGAGCAGCGCGCGGGCGTAGCAGGCGTGGCGGGCGTAGCGGGCGTGGCGGGCGTGGCGGGCGTGGCGGGCGTGGCGGGCGTGGCGGGCGTGGCGGGCGTGGCGGGCGTGTAGGAGGGTCCTCTGCTACTGCAGAGGCACCTACTACTGTAGAGGGACGCGGAGGACGCGGAGGACGCGGAGGACGTAGAGGACGCGGCGGGCGCGGCGGGCGCGGGAGACGAAGCAGTAGTGTGCCGTAGGGCGGTGGCACTACGCGGGTGGGGCGGGTAAGCAGGCCTACTACGCGCTTGCTCGGTGTAGATTGAGGCGGTTGGGGCGGACCTACACGAGGTTTATGATATTCAGTAGTTTTCTTTCTCTCCAACATTCCCCAAAAAAATTGGTGTGAAATAGTGGAGAACAGTGGGGAACGAGGAATTGAACTGACTCGCGGAACCTCCCGGTGGTGCTACTAAAACTGATACGCGCTACTGCAATTACCCATGAACAAACACGCACAACACCAAAATAGACGACTAAATCGTTGAAACAAGCACACGTCATCTGTGGGTATCTGTTCGGTGTAAATAGACGTCTATTCGGCGTGATTAGACGACTAATCGCCTGCTGCGCCTATTCGGTGCAACAAATCCGCCTCACTGCCGTGACAACTATACCGTCTATACGAGCTTTAGAGCCTTTATCGCGTAACCTATAACCGTATTCTTTCGAGAAGGCTCTAATCGCGTCTCTAGCGGCCTATAGGGTATTATAGGTAGTCTCGGGAGGCGCGGTAAGGTCGTATTTAGGTATAGTATTAATAGAGATACGGTAAACGCGCGGAGGTACTATAACTGTCGTAAAGGCCGCGTAGTAGCGGCGGACGCCTACGGGATATAAAGTAAGGCCGTAAACGACGCCCTAGGGTACGGAGAGATAGTAGACGGCGTGTAGGGTAGGCGGAGTAGGTATTAGACGAGGCGCGAAGGTATTATGCGAATATCGCAAAGGTAGCTTTCTGCCGGGCGCTTTACCCGATTAGGCAGACGGTAACGCCCGGGGGGG